GTCCCGTCGTCGTTGTCGTCGCGAAGCTCTTTTTTTCATTATTCAGATACTTCTATTTGTTTGTCTGACCAAAGCGAAATGCCACACACACGAAAACACACACGCACGAGGAAGAGTGCCGCTGTGCCGCGGTATATGGAAAGGAAAGGAGAAAAAGAAAGGATAGGGTGTTTCCAAATGTCGTGGAGAGGAAGAGGGTTCATGAGCAAAGGAAGAGTAAAGGAAGCAGGGGAAGAAGACCGAGAGGGAAGAGAGCGAGACAGAGAGAACAAACGGCCGAACGGCATGAGCAGCAAACACAGCTGTACGGGCCTGGAAAACAATTGCAATGCGGAGCCGCGCCAGAGCCCGGCGGAGGCCACAGCTCGCTGTGCGCAGGGGCACCGCCGCTCCTCCAGGGGCCCATCGGCAGAGTACTTTGGAAAGCATTCCCTCCAGCTCTGACCGGTGGCAGAGGGGCGGGGCGCGGCGGAGCGGGGCGCGGCGGGACGGCCGCTGCCTAGGGGCCCGCGTATCCGTGTGTGTATGTGTTGCGGGATAGGAGAGGGCTGCTATCGTCCACTGGGGCAAATTCCACCCCCCCCCTCCCTGCCAACAACTTGATAGGCTTAAAAATAACAAAAACAAAAAGCAAGTCGTCTTTTGGATGAAAACAAAAAGAGGAAAGTTAACTAGCCTATGGGGAAGCCCGCAAACGGGCGCAAGAAAACAGCCAAACGACGACTACGACGACGACAAAAATGATTATGATGGTGTAAACCTTTGGTGTAAACGACCAAAAAACGACACTTTTTTATGGTCTTCTCACAGACAATGCAAAGGGGCGCGTGGCCGTGGTGGTGGGGCGTGGCGCGTAATACCGGTTGGGCCGATAAATTAATGTACGCCCCCGCCGCCCCCAGGCCGCCCCCGCGTCACCCCCGCGTCGCCCCCGGAGGCCCTGCCGCCGGCACGTTCGGCCCTTCGGCCTAATAGACAAAACTTTACGATCTACACGGACCAGTTTATTGTGCCGCTCCATCCGACATCGCGCACATAACTAACGGCGCATCCAATTTTTGCCGCTGCCCCCGGGGCGGGGTAACAGACTCGCCCCGCCCCGCCCCGCCCCGCCCCGCTCCACTTTGGGGACCCACCCCGCCGCCAAAGCAAAAGGGGGCGGGGAAGTGGGGGGCGTTTTCATTCGGCAACCCATATCAGGGACAAGACAAGGAGGTGCAGGGAGCAGGGAGCGAGCGAGAGAGAGCGAGAGAGGGAGAGAGAGAGGTAGATGAAGAGCGGGGGGCGTGCGCTGCCTGCAGATGAGCGCGCCGCCCCCCGCACCGTGCGCCCCAGCCCCCCAGCAGCCCCCACACACACCTGCCCGCCCTCGTCAGGGGCGACTGCAGGCTCCAGGGTGGGAGAGGAGGCCGCCCAGAGCAAAAACTGTGTCATACAACTCGGTGTTGTCGAAGGGGACAAGCGCCGGCCTGGGGCATACATAGGAGGCGCGTGCACTCAGCCCTGCCCGCTCCCTGCTCCCCTACACCACTTAGCCTGCTCCTTGTATAGATGGCTGTTGCGCCCCGCCCCGCCCCGCCACGCCCCGCCCCGCCCCGCCTCCCCCGGGTGCGCTCAGGGAGGCCTGCTCCTGCTGCTGCTCCTGCTATGCCGCTATGCCCACATCGGCAAAAAGGGGACAACCCCTTCCTCCTCTAATGAAGAGTGGCTGCGAGCGCGGGACGAATCCCCACAAAGTGGCAGCTCGGGAGGGGCGGGGCGGCAGCCCTCCCGTCGTCCTGCTGCTCGCAAAATTAACAAATTCAGTGCCACGCTATGGTTATTTACGGGGCCACCGTGCGCGCGGCCACCGACTTTTTTTGTAAGGGGGGGGGGAGAAAATATGGAATATGCGGCCGGAGATACGACGAGGTGACGGTGGAAAGGGCACGGAGAAAAAGGATGGCCTGGTCAACGGTGTAGGAGGAGGAGGAGGAGGAGGAGGAAGGAGGAGAGATTTGAAAGAAAGGGAAATTTAGGCGCGCGCGGAGGAGGGCACGGCGCGGCGCGCGCGATAGCAAAAGTAAGCCAAGAACACAACCACCAGCGGTGCGCGGCGCGCGCGTAGCCATATCATCATATCACCATGGACAGGTGTTTAGCGCGCGGTGCAGCAACGCGACGGCCTGCATGGCCGGGAAGTGGAACGGGTGAAAACAAAAGGCCGGCGGGCGGCGCGCCAGTGCGCACGCATACGCACGCTGCCGCCGGCCGTACCGCCGCCGCCGCTGCTGCTTTGCATGGGGCTTTATAGCACACACCTGTCGGCCGCGCACGGGGGATTTTATCGGCGATTTGGAATGCTCTCGCTCTGGCTGTGCTTTATGGCTTTGCGACGCGCTCACCGGCAAAAGATTACAAGAGTAACCACAAACTTTTGCTTTCTGCAGGGCCAAGTTGAGTTTTTGTACTTCTACTCAGGTAATCTTTGTCTCTTTTTTTCAGGAGGAAAACACAAATGCCCTGCGAAAGTACGCTGAACACGGAACACAGAAACACGGAAAATACACGACAGGTCTTCCCCCAAATTTCAATCCCAGAAAAATTATTGTTCCTTGTTTTAAGAGCACGCTGACCCGTGTTGACCCAAGATTAAATTCACTCCTGAAACAAGTCAGTATTGTCTTTGGAATAAGATTTTTCCCTTATTCGACAGATAATATCATCTTGTCTCAAGAGTAAAATTGATCTTGGAGCCGCATTTGCTTGAAGCAAGGAAAAATGCGCTTGAAACAAGAAACAGTTTTTTTTTCTGGGGGCATATTTTTTGGGTTAGGGTCGTTGGCATCACAGAGGCTGATACAGCAGACCGGCTGCTGGGCTGCTGCTGCAACAGCCCCCGCCCCGCCACCAGATTCCCACACGCACTGCGCTCGCACGGCCGCCGGGCCGACCGCGGCAGTGCTGCCGGGGTCGCGGTCACACCTGAGCGGTGTCATGCCATGCTCACTGTTGGTGTGTGTAGATTTTTTCCCCATCTCTCCACGCATGCTATACCACGACCCGATTTCATTTATTTCTGTAAATTCCTTTATTATTTCACATTACGATTGCATTTTTCACTCTCGGGCTCACCAAACGCGCAAAGAGCACAGATTTCAAACGTGGCCGCAGGCATATATCCCTTGAACTAGATGGAATGGGCTCCGACCATTTTTTTTATCTCTTCGTTTTTGTTGTTGATTTTTTTTTGTTTGGTTTTGTTATGCTATACCGCATACACGCGTGTATGCGAGCTGCCTACTCGCTCGGCGCCATAAGGCGCAACGACACAGGAAAAACTAATGTGACATGTATCACACCAATTGGTCACAGCATGTAATGTGATCTGAGTTCAGGTCACACCAATTGATGTGACATCAGCCAAGAAGGTATAGGACAGAACACATAGGAGTTCACACCACCAACGTGACCAGAAAAACGGTCCTACACATGTGACTTAGGATGTCACTCACATTAGTTTTTCCAGTGGATGAGCAGCGGTAGGCAAACCCGCTGGCACGCAAGCGTGAGCTACAGCATAACCAAAAACAAAATGCGGGGCACGGGGCCTGAGTAACATCCTGTATGGGTTTAAGTCGGTAGGTTATAAGTTTGTATGTGCAAAGTTGAAAATATATTTTAAAACGAGGAAAAGAGCACACACATTCACACCGCATTAGTTTCGTCAGGTGCAAATAAGACGGCAAGGTTCCTGCAAAAGCGCGGCGCCGCCGCGTTGCACCACCCAGAGAGGAAGACGACGGTTTGGTTGGCGGAGGGCGGAGGGAATGCCCAGCAGCACTGAGGGCATTTGCCAACCTTGCGGCCCTCGGCTGAGGGAGGGGTGCCGGCAGAGAGACAAAGCGGTGCCTTTAAGGCCAAAGGAGTTTGGCCTGAAAGGAACCTTAATAAGGCCTTGAGGTATCCTTTTTATTATTATTTTACTTTAAGTGTGTCTACAAGGTGCGCCGTTAACTTTACGAGAGCGTGTTTTTACTCAAATTAACCTTTAAGAAAAGATAATACTTGAAAATACCCTTCACATATCGTCTTACACAACATTACCCTTGACCTTAAGGGGCCCTTCCGCTCGGCCCTTATGACTGTTGTTCGCGAGTCCTGCACAAAGCGACATTCTTACCGTTGTCCACTATCAGCCCCGTGGAAGCGACTGGGGAAGTACCACGCCAGGATTGAACTGTTCAAAGCGACTACCGCATACGCACGCGTTTAAGTCTCCGGTACCATTCAAACGGGTTAATGAGTCTCTCATTATGAAAAAGGTCAATAGTTCTTTTGACAAACTTGATCCAATTTTTTTTTCTTACGGGCCAAACCAGAAACGATAAGGATAAAATACTTTTGGTGAGGCAAAATTTGACAAGTTGGTGTTGGAATATCGACCGTTTAAAATACCTACATAGGTGGTCTGAAACTGACAACAAAGGCGTGAGCCTTCGAGTGTCCATTCAACAAAAGATGGTGTGAAAGTTCCTCTCCATACATTTGACAAAAAGTTGAGACTGAATTATAACCTATTTATAACAATTTTATTAAACAGAAAAATATTACATTGAAGCACTTTTCGGTAGGGTACGCTGTCCGCGACGTCTAACAGCTGAGCTGAGCGGGCCAAAACTGATCCAACGGACACCACGGGTAAATTTGGGCCCACAAGGCTATTGTTTACCTCGCGACTCCAGGCGACTTTTTAAGGTTATGTCCAGCAGGCCCAGGGCCCTTCCAGGGCTCCAGCACGCGACCCAGGGGCACAACACGCGCAGGCAGCGCCGTCCAAAGCACGCCCCGGGCACTTGCGCGTCGTCGCCGTCGTGTCCGCGGCCCGCCCCGTCTCCAGGATCCTCTCCAGCGCTGGAGCTGGAGAGGCTGGACCTGGACAATGGGCAGCTGAGCGGAGCCCACGGCCAGCGCGCGCGAGGAAGGGGGGAAGAGCCTCTCGCGGAGGCGGTCTGTCTCACCTTGCTGGACGACGGGCGTTGACAGCAAGGGCCCCGCGAGGTGCAGCAGGACCACCAGGACCCGCACGGGATCCCACACAGACACCATGGTGGCTGGCGCCAGCCTCACACCTCACACCATGTTGGCACTCGCGAACACCCGTCCCTGAGCCGTCCCTGGGCACTTGCTGCCCGCGCCTCTCGCACACTCGCGCACTCGCGTCCTCGCGGGCACATTTGGGGCGCGGCCGCGGCGGTGGTGCCCTCGACGGCGTCGCGGGGCGCACGGCACACACACGGTACGGGACGACAACAAACAACCACTGCGCGGAGCGGAGGAGCCGAGCTGCGGATCAATCCATCCTTTCACTTTCTGCTAGTTTCGCATACTGACAACAAAAACGCAGCGTCGCAGACACAAATGTCAAGAGCGAGGTCTGCCAACGGCGCGGCGGGTAACTCGGATCGCGCTGCCCCGAGGAGGCAACTGTCGCCGATCTACGACTCGAGCCACAGTTACTCTACGTCAGATAAATGATGTTCTCACTATCTATCGCCCCAAATCTTTCAATAAACCGAATCTAAACTTTGAATGACGTTTAGTAAAATGAATGAAACACGTCCATTGCATGGCCTGAATCGGCGCCTGCTGGAAAAACACTCGTGGCCCCGCGTGATTCAAAATTCTTCTCCCAATCAAGTGGGAAAACTTAATTTTAAATGTTTTAAATGTAACATAAACTCTCTCAACGCCAACTTTCAGGTCTGAATTACATTAATCTTCCAGGTATGATCAATTTCTGAGAGCAAATTACAGTCAAACACTGTAAAAACAAGAAAAACCGTAAGTTAGCATTTGAATTTGCCGCGTATTTTATTTCAAAGCATGGCACACACAGAAATAAAATGTCTTTCCCGCTAACAAGTCTTGTGCAAGAACGTCGGAGTTCATTCTTGAGAAACATATTCGTTTCAAAATTTTATTATTTTCTAATTCATTTGAATGAAAACGCAAAAGGTGCAAGAGATAAACTACCGCTGGTTTAGCAGCACAAGTTTGTATCACTGGTGCTGTGTAGTTTGTTTGGCAACATCAGAAAGGCTTCGTCTGTCTGCTGCTGTCAAATGTCATCGGTGGCCCCCCAAGAGGCAAGTGGATGTTCTCTTGGTTATCTTTTGTGAATCGAGGCGACAGCAACACAATGTGGGACTCCCTTCTAACAGCGGGTAAGTACCTGGATTTTTTTCATTTTGACTATGGTGTTTAACCTAATTTCTCGATTGAGGGAGTGTTGTTGGTGTGATAATCTTCTAAGTAGCGGCTTTGGCGTCCTCCAACCTCGCCCACTTCAAAACCTATTTCGAACTCTTCTTATTTAGAACTAAAAATTGTAGTTCATTTTAGTCACTATCCTACTTCAAGCAACTTAAATAACTTTCCAACCTCGATCGATTTGTGCAGCAGTACCAGTATTACCGTTGTTGTTTACTGAAGCAGGCCTCTTTGGTTATGTGATTTACTGTCATACTCTTTAGCTTGTTACCAAGCCTCTTATATCCATGTGTGTGTGTTTATCAATAAACAATTTCACTATCTCTTAAAGCAATGCAGTATATTTACTCACTGTTTATTATATCTTGCCTAGGAGCTGTTGTAAACCGAGAAGGGCTCGGAAGCGAATCGGAAACCATGGCAGAATTAGCTGCTCTCCTGAAGACAGACATTCCAGAAGGCCGGAACAATTTGGCTGACAGTCACACAAACTTAGAACGTGTGGCTGAGTATTGCGAAAATAATTATTTCCAGGTAAATATTATTTTATCTTATCTTATTAATACTTAAGACATCATTTCTTAAGTTTTAATATTTGTAGTATAATTCATGACTCATTGAAGCTAATTATTAAAATATGATATCTCAGCAGGCAGATGAGAAGCGGATGGCCCTGGAGGAGACCAAAAACTACACAACTCAATCCTTGGCATCAGTGGCCTACCAAATTAATACCTTGGCATACAATTTTCTACAGCTTCTAGATTTGCAAACAGCACAGATGGGTGAAATGGAAAGTCAGATGAATCATATAGCCCAGGTATGTATTTTCTTTTCATTGAACCATCCAATTTTCTTCACAAATTTATTTTATAACTTGTCAAAAACTGTTCTTCTTTTTTTAACTTTTTAGACAGTGATGATCCACAAAGAAAAAGTCGCTCGGCGTGAAATTGGTGTGTTAACAGCCAATAAAAGTACTAACCGAACATACAAGATTATTGCCCCTGCTAATCCAGAGAAACCTATAAAATATGTTCGTAGAGCAATTGATTACAATGGTACTGTATTATTATTTTAACTATGCTACAATGGTACTCCCAGGAATTTTTTTAAGCACTTATTTTGTTTTCTTATACTAGCACTGGATGATATTGGCCATGGTGTCAGAACTCTCAGTGGCGGTATGCGTGGAAAGCAGCGTGGATCAAGTGCAGGAAGCCTTCAAGCAGCCATGGGACCGCTCTCTGTCAATGTTGGACCAAATGTTGGCCCTGCACCTACTACGAAACCCCCAACACCGCCTCAGGCTGTTCGAGGAATGGGAATGGGCACATTGAGCAAGGGTTCAAGGGAGTATAGGACACCACCTGCTGTTGCACCTCCTCAGGTAAGTGTATCTCTTCACCTTTTACTTTTCTCTAAATATCAGGTATCAACAAAGGCTTTACTCCCCAGGTACCAAGTCACTATGCCCCTAATTATCCACTGGGACATCCAAGACGTGATCGAGGTCCGGGTTACTCCTCTTTGCCTATGCATTCTAATACACTTCCGCATCAGCACCATGGAAGCCATCATTCAATGCATGCTAACAGCCAAGCCCACAACACGGGTACTCTCAGCCATCATCCACATCACCAAAAGTAAGATTTAAAAAAAATTAAACTGAGATTGTTCATTTTTATTTTCGACTTTTGTAACTTTTCTATTTTATTTTATTTCATATTTTTATAGATCAGAACAGCAGCAACAACAAATTCAACAGCAAATGCAACATCTCCATCAGATACAACAACAGCAGCAGCAGGCACAGCAGCAGCAGCAACAACAACAGCAACAACTGCTGCAACAGCAGCAGCTTCAACAACAGCAACAGCAGCAACAACAACAGCAGCAGCAGCAACAACAACAACAGCCACCACCCCCACTCTTGGCTGTAGCTCACCAAGAACCTCCTCATCCACCAATGACCCTACCACAAGTGGGTCTGGTGCATCCTATTCCTCAGACACCTCCACCAAATACACCACCAGCCACATATTCTTCAGATCATCATATGAGTATGCCGCGTAAGTTTCCATTCAGTAATATATTTTTTTACATTTCTACTTTAAGTACCTACCCTTGGGGAAGTGTTCATCTTTAAAGTGCGATTCGACCGCCTACAGAAACCTCCAGTTTACGAGTACATATTTCAGCTTTGCCTTGGTTACCACAATGTACTACTTCTCTGCCTTTTTGTATATCATGGACTGTTTTCATAAGGCTTTGCATTTTTCTCTCTGGAGAAAACACTTTTTGCTGTATGTTCATCATTCAATCAATTCCTTTGTATAGTTCACTCTGTACATACCCTAAATCATTGCGAATTGGTGTTATGTTTTTGTTGACCATGAGGCTTCTTAAACACCAAACCTTAAAACTTGCATATCTTTCTGTTTTGCTTTGGTGGATAGGACAACCCTTGAAAAGTGCACTGAAAAATCCTCAAGGAGGTAAGAATGTTATCATGTCCTATTTGAAACACTGCTTCTTTGAAAGTGTTCACATTGTCGTTTTCTATCTTTTGTAACTTATACATTTACACTGTATTTATTGTTGCATTCCTGCTGTCATCAGGACAACCCTTAAAAAGTGCTTTGAAAAATTCGGGAGGTAAGAACTCTGTTATGTATTTTCCCCATACAGGACAGCATGATCCACGAGTTGTTGGAAGCCTCCCACTAATATCTGCTAGTAGATTTTGTTTTGTAACCTGCATCCTTTATTTATTAGATCTTTTTCTTTTTTTTGGAACAGGTTTGCCTATTTTTTTGTGCATTTATTTTAGATTTCTGCCTTTTGTTTTATAAGAGCCCTTTGTACGGTGTGTTGTGAAAATTTCTGCTGATATGCTAAATGTTCTATGGGAACATTTGCCACATTTTTCTACTTTTCTGTGTTATGTATTTTAATATTTCCTCTTACCTCTGTATGGTCTAATTTTCATTAACAATATAGCACAGCACAGTACATGTCTGATAAATATGTATTTCTAATTTTGTTTAGTCCTAGAGTAGTGTGAACAAGTGTATCAATCCGTACTGTGCTTCCAAATTGTTTGGTTTGGCTTCTTAGCATTACCTATAAATGAAGTATCTTTTCCTGCCATAGCTGGGTTGCAGCAGTTGTATAATGACAATGTACCGTTTTTCACCTATTGATTTTTACTTTAATAATACTCACACGCTTTAAATTTTTGACATCAATATTAACTGATTGCATGCATATTTTACTATACATTTGTAGAAAAACTTAAATTTGAAAGTTTATTTTAGGATTTGTTTGGTGCATACAGTATGTGTCTTTTCAAGACCATGTTTTTGTTGTCACTCTTCATTAATTTAGATCTCTTTGGATATGTTGTGAGTTTCATTTAGATTGTTTTCCTAAACTGCCGTACTTTATATTTGTTCACAGCCCCACCGTCTCCTCTGGTCTTGAACAACTCACTCAGCTCAGCAATGCAAGCTGTGCCCAGTGGGATGTTGGGTCATCACACATTGCCACACCAGCATCATGGCCATCACAGCTCTCATGGTGGGCATTCCCAGCATTATCGCTTGGGTAGCCAGACACCACCACCACCGCCCCAGCCTGAGGAAGCAGAACACGCTCGATTTGGGCAACCAAGAGGAATGATTGTCCCAGAGCAAATCGATTTGCCTGGATGGGTGCCTAAAAACTACATTGAAAAGGGTACGTACATTTTTAGTGTTCTGTACTCATAATTTGCTATGAAATTTCTTACATTCTGTTCACGATTTTTTTCCTTCTTGCAGTTGTTGCCATTTATGATTACTACGCTGATAAGGATGATGAGCTCAGCTTTCAGGAGAGTGCTGTTATTTATGTACTCAAGAAGAATGATGATGGTTGGTGGGAAGGAGTCATGGATGGTATTACAGGCCTCTTCCCTGGGAATTATGTGGAGCCCTGTGTCTGAATCTTTTCAGTTCTAGAGCTGACACAAATCCTTACTACAACACTGCAGTGGGAATGTTATAGTCAAATCCAAATCTGGAATACTGTTTTGTTATTCTAAAAGTAATTATTTATTTTAGCTATTCACTCCGCATTTATTCTGTATGTAATCTAAAGCTGAATGAAAGTGTGCCATGATTTTATATGTTTTACCTTCTGGCATATGTGATGTTCAATTCTACATCATGAATTGAGAGTAACTAAAGGTTATGGTAGGAACAAGAATGGTTGCATCAAAAGTGAAAATATTTATTTGAATGGAGTATTCATGGCCCTATTTCTCTGTGGTGCAAATGTGCACTTTCCTTTAAGTCTTGCAAGTTCTTTTGTTTATTTATTTTGATGTTACACAATCTATCCTCTGTGTTTTCATCAATAAATTTATTGTTAGATTATTATTGTTGATCAATTGACTTTTACTATTATTTGTGTGCCTTGAGTACTGAGTCTTCTAAACTGCCATTCTGCAATGAACTTTCTTTATCATTAACTTTGCTTGGATCATTAGGTATATTTTTATTGTTATTGCACTTTTACTACTCTCACTCTGTAAAGAGAGATTTTTTTTTCCTAAATATAAAGATAGGTTTTTGCTCATAATCATGTCAGTATGTCTGAAAGTATTTTACAAATCATGGGTCTGTCAGTACTTTTTTGTATTGTGATGGAGTTCTTTATGAAAAGAGCACTATTTTTATCTATCAACTTAGGTCTGCCTGCTTTTTCATATGAAACTTTGGGTAGGCAGTCATTTTACTGTGGTTTTACTATTAACTCTACTTTAAACCTTGATTTCTGTCAAAGTTTACTGTTGTCAGTAATATATAATGATGCTGAGGTAGAAATTCAATATGGACTTAGAGAATGTTTCCAAAATTTGATAAACAACTTTACACATGTATTCTTAGATGTCCTTTCTGCTCATAACTTACCATGATGAGGTCTTCCAGTCTGTTTTAAATGCATTTATCAACAGTTGTGTGTCCTTCCCGTCCATACATTCCAAAATAATGTAAACATGTTTTGCAAATATTCATTTACTTTATTCACATATTGTGCGTCTTTACAACTAATCTTCTATAATTATTGAAATCTATGTTATAAAAAGGGGAAGAAACAGATAAGTGATTTGAATAGTTGCCATCTCCTCACAACATGGAAGAAAATTGGTAGAAAATTATTACTGTGCTCAAATCAAAAACCTAGCCTAAACATAAGTGATGAACCTTTGTATTGATTCTCTGATGAATGTAGATTTGCTATGATTTCATTAGAACCTTTATTGCTGACTGATGAAGCAAATGTAAAGAAATAATAAATTGAGCAATTACTTCAATCCACTTGCCTCTTGTTTATTTGTATTTGCAAGCAGTAAGCTGGACAAAAGACACATGAAGAAATCATTTATCTAACTGCTGTTAAATCACAAAAATGTGCAATCCTCTCTAGCTTGAGCTGTGACCATCTTGAGCGCCCAAAAGCCCCAAAATGCGGCAGCATGTTCGTTCAGGCAACAAGAATATGTTGAAACCTTCAAGTAAATAATATAGAAAAGACAGTGTAGAAAAAACGAAAAAAAAAAGAAAAGAAATCTAATGTGAGAGGCCTCCTTGGGAGGGAATAATTGTAATATTTTCTAGAATTTACTCTAATCAACTCCTTTGGAGTCACAAAATAGTCACCCACGTGTGGCTTCACGCGGGATGTTTGGTCAGAGTCAGACCAAAGTGATAGAAGCCCGTCACGAGCGAAGAGGACTAGTACCGGCAAAGAGAGGTGTAATAATAGAAACTTGGGTTGACCTATGAAATACTCGTTGCATTGAAGGTGCACGGCGCGGAACGAAGCGCCCGTGCTTTGGTCCCAAGTGCATCGACTAGAGCTAGTGGCGAGGCGGAGGCCAAGGCGTAGCGGGGCTGCGCGGCGGCGTGGCGTGGCGTGGCGTGGCGTCAATGCGCGTGATGGCGAGAGAGGTGGACCTGCATTGGAACAAGTAATGGGTCAGTTTCGGGAAAGCAGATTGCCTCATTTGGAATGCTATCTGGATCTCTACGAATAGAAAATTGAGAAGAAGAAAAATGGACATAATTCCCTCTGGAATTAATTTAAAATTTCATCCTAATCTCTAAACGACATCTATAAAAGCGTAAGGAGAGTACGACTACTGGGGGGGAAATGCGTGGAGCCAATTTCCTCCCCCGCCTTTACCTGTTTTCCAATCTTTCACCCTCAGCCTCTGCCAGAATTTCAAAGACTCACACCTTGCCGCTCACCACTCGGGCACGGTGCCCTACGCGGCGGGCGGCCCGGCCTTCCCCGCACCACCTGCAAAACGCCCACGTGCAAGGAATCAGGCTCTCCGCACAGCAAGACGACAAATTGGAGCGGATATTCTCACTTGTGTGTGCAAACTGCATCCTCCTTAACTCACCCTTCCCTTCAGTGCGCACGGCGGCGGTCTGCCGACACGGCGCCCCGCCACCCCTCCCCCTCGCCGTCCCCGCCGGCGGCTCAGCTCGGGGTGGCGGCGGCGGGCAGAGGCGCGGCGCGGTAGATGCCCGTGTAGCCGCAGAGGCGCGCGCGCAGCGCCGGGATGAGGACGGCGGCCGCCGACAGGTCCTCCAGGAAGTTGGCGCACTCCACCATGAGCAGGTAGAGCTTGTCGCCCTGCGAGATTGACTTGTGCAGCGTGATGCGGCGCAGGCCGACGGAGCGCGGCAGGTACCGGTAGAGCATGCGAGCACCTGGGGGAGGGGAAAACGAACAGTTTCCACGTTGTTACCAAAATTGCTGCTGCTGCTGCCAGTTTTTGTGGAGACCGTCTCTCTGTTAACACTGCGACACGCCCAGAAAATAGTTTCTTTGATTCAAGGAAATTTCAACCTAAACTGAGGACAGGGAAACTTTTCCCTCAGTTCGAGGAAAATTAAAAAAAAAAAAAAAAAAAACAAGGAAATTTTACCTCAAGTGAAGGGAAATTTCTTTGAATTTATCGAGTAAGATTTTCTTTACTGTCAAATATCCTAGAATGAAAGAAACCGTTTTCCGAGGACGCTACACTACTTCTTACCCGTCCAGTAGAGCCAGTTCTTCTCGAAGCGGCGGCCGTCGTCGCCCTCGAACACTTTGTAGAAGGAGACAATGTAGCCCGTGGTGGCGGGGGCGGGGCGGCGCGCGGCCGACGGGTAGCCGGGGTCGAAGGGCGGGCGCGCGATGGTGGCCACCTCGTTGAACAGGTCCAGCGTGTGGTTGGCCGTGTAGCGGATGTTGCGCGGGTCGAACTTGCGCAGCGACGCCGAGCGCAGCGAGCGGAAGAACTCCTTGGGGTCGGTCTGCGCCGAGTTGATGACGTAGTACGAGATGTAGGGGAACTCGGCTGCGGACACAAACGGCGGACCCAAAGTCAGCAGTCGTAGTGGAAGCAACGACGCGTTCAGCACAACCATCCCCCATATGTCCCGGGGACGAGCCCGGGCAATCAGACTGCCATAGTAAGCGGCTCGACAAAGGGCAAAAAATAACTTGCGCCAAACACGACAGGTAGTTTAGTGCCGCGCAGGGTGGAGCGGTGGTGGGGCCCGCCGCCGTAACAACGCGGTGTTTCGTTTGGCGGCACGCCATTGACACAAACTCATCGTTCACCGTCATCGAGCCGAACGGCCCTGCTGCGCGCGCTTCGATCCGCGGGACAGGGCGGCGGGCGGGCGGAACGGGAGGGAAGTACCAACCATAACGACGCACACGCCGCCGCATCGCGACACTCGCGGCGACAACGCCTTTTGCACACTGGGCGGCCCGCCGTGTGACTGTGACCCCGCGCGACCCTGCAGCCCCGCCGTCACTCCGCAGCTCTCTTGTCCCGCGGGTAGAGAGACGGCGGTGGCAGCTGCTGTGGCGACATCGCGGCAGGACAAGCTTTGCGCTAGAGCGTGGCTGTGGCACGCGAAGCGGCCGCCGCTGCCAAACCCCCCTCCGCGTCCCACAAACAGAACCACACACACACACACAGGTCACTTGATGATAATTGTTGTAAGCCATAGCTTCCCCCGCGCGCGGCAGTGCGTGGGAGGCGAGAGGGGGGCGGGCGGCGCGCAGCCAGCGCAGCGGAGACACCACCGCGGGGGCACTCACAGTTCTTCTCCATGTTGGTGAGCAGCATGCCCCGGACGGCCGAGTTGCCCTTGCTGACCTCCTGCACCAGGTCGGCGCAGGCCGTCCCCTGCTGGCGGTGCGGCGAGGCGAGCGGTGACTCGAGCGCCGGCTCCAGCGGCTCCATGGGCGTCATGAGGTGCAGCAGCACGGACAGCAGCGGGTCCGCCACCTCCAGCACCTTGACGTTGCCGTTGCCGCCCTGCAGCGCCTGCTGCTGCCCCGCCTGGTTCAGCTGCCCCAGCTGGCCGGGCTCGGGCATCTGCGAGGCAAAGGCGGAGATAATTACATAGTCGCACTCGCAGCGGGGACGTCCGCCGAGGGATCCTCCACTCAAAACAATCAGTATTACACCCTCTCCCGAAACAAAAATCAGGAAGAAAAATGAGGAAGAAAACAGAAAAACCACAGAGAAATCAGGAAAAAATCAGAATAAGAAATCAGAAAAATCAGAAGAAAAAATCAAGGGAAAAAAATCGAAAAAAACAACAGAAAAAGTCAGAAAAATATAAGAAAAAATCAGAAAACTGTAAGAAAAGTCAGAAAAATCTGCGATAGTTAGATGGCTGCCGCACTGGCCGCATTCTCACCGGCACACCCTCGGGCAGGAAGCGGTCGACGGCGTGCAGCGGAATGATGAAGCAGTCCCTGTCCAGGTGGGCGAGGGACACGGGCTCCGAGCGGGACATGGGCAGCGAGCTGGTGGCGGCGCGGCCCTGCTGGGGTTGCTGCTGCTGCTGCTGCTGCTGCCCGTTCTTGTTGAAGCTCACCTGCGCCGCGGCCGCGAAGGGAGATGAGAATAAGGTTCGTGAAATTAGTCAGAGTCCGCATACTTCTAATTTTGGCGAGTCCGTTTTGCCGACCCGCGCATCCCCTGACCCACTTATAGCGTCCAAATGAAGCGGCCGGATCCGACCGGCTCGGATGGGATGTTTATTCATTTAGCGCGGCCGCGACACGCAGCAGAGCGGGTACATGCGGCGCCCCCTCCCCCTCCCCCCCTCCCACTTCCCACGCTCGAAATACTACGTGCAGCATCCGACGCCGTGAAATAAATGCAGTGCGCACAACACACACTTTGAAGTAGTTTTGAAAAAGAAACACTACAGAATAAACGTCCTTCCTCACCTGCCGGCTGGGCGGAGCGGAGGCCGACGCCGACCCGGTGGGGGTCGGGGGCCCGCCGGCGCCGGGCGACACGTCCAGCGAGTCGAAGCGGCCGCCCATCAGGCTGCCCGACGACTTCCTCTTGGTGGACGGCCACTTGATGAGGGTGACGGAGGAGCGGCGGGGCGCGGGCGGCGCGGCGGAGGGCGGCGGCGGCAGCCCGGCCCCGGGCGGCAGGTCCTCGTCGACGGCGCTGCCGCAGCTCTGGCAGCCGGACGGGTTCAGGAAGAGGTGGGTGCGGTAGCCGCGGTCGCGCTCCGCGTCCGGCATGGCCAGCGAGCTGTAGCCCGCGTCCCTGGCGCGCTTGCCGTGGGTGCCGTGGCCCTTGCTGCGCCCCGAGCGCCCGCTCGCCTTGCCGAACCCGTAGCCGGGCTCCTTATCTGCGTGGAAATGCTTTCTGAACATGATATTCATGATGGCGGCTGGGACGTCCTCGTCCTGTGGGGGTCCGTCTGGAGGGAAGGTGTCTCGCACGTCCTGCTCTAGGGAGGGGCTAGCGGGGGGTCACTATCTACGAGTCACGCGCACTCACGACACACCATCCACACTCTGCAGCGCCGGCTGCTGCTACGACTACGGTACTCACGGGACGCATTTTTTGAGAACCCGATTTTGAGAGCGGTGGACGTACTTCGGCCCGCGCCCAGCATCTCGACAACACTGGCTGACCACCAGTCGGAGCGCCGCGTCCCCAGCGTCACGCCAGCGCCGCCAGCACCCCCGCCCCGCGCGCGCCGTCACGGGGCCCCGGGGCACGGCGCCAACGCGGCGGGAGCGAGCAAGCCAGCGCGAGAAAGGGAGAGCGAAAGAGAGCGAGAGAGGAACGCGTCACACGGCCACTTGGTGTTCTGTCTTTGTCGCTCCCGCATCCCCCGTCCCGAAGGTAATGCGAGCAAGAAAACGACAATGGGGCGCAGGGAGGAAGGGAAGTTTTTATATTGCAGGCGAAAAATGTGTCGGAGCCGGACAAGCCGGAGCAGAGTGGAGTCGGAGTTGACGTGTACAGCAGCAGGGGAGCTGGGGAGGAGGTTGGTGGAGGATGTTGTTGACTGCTGTGGGCGAGGCCAGCACGGGACCAGCAGCGTGTTCCCGAGCAGAGGAGGTCCAGCCCTACCCGGTCGCGGTAAGGTGTGTTTATCCAGCAAATCCAGGGGCGCACTGCAGGGGGTAGCGGGTGTGGGGTCTGTGTGAGGGTTGAGTGAGGTTGTTAGGGACAGTCGAGGGACAGTGAAGGAAGGGAAAGCGTAATGCGATACTACTTTTTTGTCGTGCCTCGAGTGCGTCCGCGCCGGAAGAGGAAGGGGTGGGGGCAATGCGGATGGGGAGGGCACGAGTCGCACTGTGGCTCAGCCCGACCCCAAGGTTCGCCCCCCAAGGTCCGGCGCCGCCGTCCATCCGCCCCCGCCAACCGCGCCCCGAGCTGCTGCTGGACCAGTACCAGTAGCTGGGAGGCTCGGATGCATTTTTTACCAAGGGCGATTCCCGTCGTCCACCGGGGTGTGTCCCGCGGCCGTCACCGCCCCAGCCACCTCCCCTCCCTCTCACCCAGCCCCCAACGGACCCCCCGCCCCGCTCCAGGCCCGCATCGGCCTGCGGAAATAAAAAAGTGGGGGGGGGGGACAAAAGTCCGACTGTCGAGCTCTTTTGCATATGTGATGGCCCGGGCCTGTTCAACATAGTCCGGCTCTTTCGCTCCCCGGGGGCGCCGCTGCCGACCCCGCCACGCTCTGACCCACGCGGATCGGGAATTACCTCCGCGTCGGAAAAAAAGTACTGTGATGGTCCGGTTACGTTCGAATAACGGCCGCAAGCAAGAAGTCTGTGACGGTGCCGTCGGCAGCCTCACGGCCACGGTCGCCACCGTGACATGTCCCGGCCGCGCGGCCTCGCCACGACGTGAAGCGCGAAGGGTGCCGCGGCCGCGGATTAGCCGGATTAGCTCGTCTTTTTTTCCTACCCCGCGATGACTTTTGGACCTTTGCTCCTTCTGGTTCCGCCGCTGCGCCCAGGGCTCATGGGTAATTGATGAGGCCAGCTGTGTGGAAGTGGAGGACCGGGGCGGAGAGCAGGTCGGAGCAGGGGGTGGGGATGGGGGCGTTCTGATTAGAGGAAGGAAATATGGAGGGGGAGTGGGGATAGCTGCAGGTTGGGGTACTGGTGTAGGGCCAGGGATCCTCTCCCGGGATCCATGGGGAGGAAAGGCAAGGGGAAAGGGGACAGGCACCGCTATCTGACACTTTTGTGACCGAGTGGACGCTGCTGGTGCCGCCGCCCCCGCCGCCGTTGGGACTCAAAGGGTTCATCGGAACGGCGGCGAGGGTGGGGTGAGGGTGGGGTTGAGGAGCGTCCTCTATAGGGTCCCCGTGGAGCTACTTGACCCCTTCGGGAGCCCTGTTGTATCGGGCGCACAGAGTCTGGACAAAGGGCGAAGAGAGAGAGAGAGAGAGAGAGAGAGAGAGAGAGAGAGAGAGAGAGAGAGAGAGAGAGAG